ACTTATTTTTATTATAAAATACTATAAATTAGGAGAGAGAAGAGGCCGAGGGAGGACCAAAAGTAGTTGATAGTATATACACACTATATGGATCTTTAAAAATTAGAATGAAATCATTTACTCTCAAATAATTGATGGTTTTTTTTTTTTTTTTTTGATAAAATATAATTGATGGGTTGAAATTTCATTGGGGTACAGTAGATCATTCTTTATTAGGGCTTTAAAAGAGTCGTATTAAACGTCAACATTGAAATTGTTTTTAAAGTATTTTATTTTCAGTTATGCCTAATATTGTGTAACATAGTTTTAGGATCTTATCATATGACAAAAAGTGTTTAGCTTCCATGAAATGTTAAATTTCTAGAGCTAGTAGTGAGGGCTGGCGCAACATTATTATAGGTCTTAGGGCAAAAAAAATAAAAATTGGGCCCTAGAAATTTTATTTTTAGAATTTTTTTGTTATGAAAATTTTCTTAATTTTGATGAATAAAAAAAATTGTTATACAAACAAAAAATACATGTAACTTTTTTTGGGATTCTTTTCAATATTATATTTAATTTAATATCTACTTGATTTATTTTTTGGCCCAATTTTTATTTTTTTTGCCCTAAGACCTATAATATATTTTTTTAAGGGAAAATCAGCCAAAAAAATAAATTTTGCTTGTGGCCACAAAAAATTCAGGGACGGCTCTGATTATTAGAGCACGAAATGGATTTTCTGCCGTAGCACCGCTCGGCTTCCGAGCCGGCACTGCTAGTAGTTAAGTTAACGACATTACCCTTTTTGTTTTTGTCCAAAATTAACGACATTACTATATATTTTTTATATATATATTCACTACTAGACGAATCCATCCAAATTGACCATATATCTAATATTTTTGAATAATCAAGAAATTGAAATATTGGTGTAAGCATTACATCCCCATCCTAATTCTCCGCCATAAATAGCCCTTTCACCATCTCTCACTTCTCTCCGCCATCTACACCTCAACTTCTTCTTCTTCTCTCAAGAAACAATAAACTAACAATGGCGGTTAAGAGATCTTCAAAGCTAACACAAACCGCAATGCTGAAGCAAATCCTCAAGAGATGCTCGAGCTTGGCTAAGAATCAATGCTATGATGAGGATGGCCTGCCTGTAGACGTACCAAAGGGTCATTTTGCGGTCTATGTAGGCGAAAAGAGGAGCCGTTACATCGTACCCATATCCTTCTTGACTCATCCTAAGTTCAAGAGCTTGCTTCAACAGGCAGAGGAAGAGTTCGGGTTCAATCATGACATGGGACTCACTATTCCTTGTGAAGAAGTTGTTTTCCGCTCTCTAACATCCATGATCCGATGAGGGAGTGGAAGAGAAAGCAAGAGAGCTTATTATATATCATTTTTTTTTGTTACCTTTGGATGAATATTGAATCCAAAGTTTTTTTTTTCCAAACTATAAACCTATAATGATCCGCGTAAAATGACCCTTTTATGTGGATTATGTTAAACCTAGGTTTTAGTTTGTTAATTCCGAAGTGTAGCACCTTATGGTTGTATTGCATTCAAGGGTTGAAATGTAAACCTAATTTATTTTTTGGCAAGCTGTAATAAATTTTGAGTGATGGCTTGAGCTAATAAGAACTAGTAGATATTGTTGATAGTTCATACTTTTTCTCAATGTAATGAAATTATCGATCAAATCTCCTTCAACTTAGGTCCAATATAATTTGTATTATTTCTCTTTTTAAAAAAAATTGTTTTAAAGCGTTATCTCCCTCCGTTGCATTGTTGATTTAGTTATAAGCATATTGTAGTATTTATTCATTATCATTTCCGGAATATCTACGTTAGACATAAACATTTACTACAAACTTGAAATGCTTCACATTATCTATAGACTCTAGTCTCTAGCTAGACTGTAGACTAATAGGTGTAACATATGGGACCATTGAATAAATGAACAAAGAGTTTTAAATTTGATTGTCTCTAGTGAGAAAGCAAAATAGTAAAGAAGAGGTAGGTGAAGCAAAGCATTGTCTCTAGTAATTACTTGGTGCACATATATATATACATATATCAACATTTAAAAGACCTATATAGACATATATTCAATGCACTTAGAGCATACACAGCGCTACACTCATGAGATTACTTGTTAAACATTTTTTAATTATTAAACTGTAGTGGAAGCGTCAGAAGAAAAAAGAGAGAGAGAAAAAGAGATAGAGAGATAGAGAGAAGAAATTTTTTTTCTTTTTTATAATGCCAACACTCGGGTGTTATCCTACATCCCACTTGCATATCTTCTCCAACTTTTTCAATATTTTTCGTTTTAATATTAGTCACACTCTTGTAAAGAGTGCACCAATGTGTATGCTCTTAGCTTCCCTCTTTGCCTTTTTCCCTGCTAGCCACTGGTGTTTGTATACCAAGCAACTAGTCTTCTTAATACGACGCACATACCTTCTTTTTTTTCTATCTATCTCTCAGGAATATTATTTATTTTGGCTTGGAATAAACTGCATCCACATGTACCGTAGAGGACAAAGATGGATGATAGTCAATTGGATGAGAGTAGCTATCAAAAAATTTGCAGAATCTATCGTTTTCGTCCCATTCCGTACACGTTTTTGTTCTATTAATTTTCCCATATAAATTTTCACATTGGGATAATTTTGTGATTTGGCCAAATTAATTGAGTTTTTATTACGTTGTTTGGCTAAATAAGAAACATTTTGAGTGGTTTGAAAAACGTAAGTTGTTAAATTAAAACTACCTTTGATAAAAAAAAAAGTGCATTCATCAAGTGTACGTACATGTTATAGTAATAGAGATGTACATAAATTTATCATGGTTTATGCTATTATGTATTCGAATCGTTAGACCTCAGTTTAGGTATCACCGGTCGGATATGGTGAGATTTGATGAGAATTATGAGATCAACTACTCCCTCCGTTTCGTTTTAGTTGTCGTTTAAGGTTTTTTCACACAAATTAAGAAAGCATTAAATTTTCTGTTTTACCCTTTATTAATATATTTTATAAAAAATTTTATTGGCCAAAACGTTAAAACAGTAGGGATAAAACTGGAATTTTCACCAAACATTTGCATTGAAAACCTAAAACGACAACTATTACGAAACAAAATTTAAATTCTAAAACGACAACTAAAATGAAACAGATGGAGTATGACTTGGTTGATGATCTAGTTTAGAGAGGCATGTCCGTTCGCTAGACTCGATGGAAGGCGGTGATGATGTTTCCCATACCATTGCATATTTATAGATAAACCTCTCTCTATATTTTTTTGTTCCTTCTTCTTAAATCATTTTTGTTTATTTGGTAATAATAAGTAAATAACTAAGAGATTTCAATATGAAATTTTCAACAATCTTGAAGATAATTCACTCTAAAATTCTCAACAATTTCTTTATAAATCTTTTTACAAGCAAGATTTTCCAAGTTTAAGTTGTTAAAATTGAAAATTAGTCTTCTATAAACTTGACCATCGTTAAATGTTTTACACACCAAACAAACTAAATTATACAAACTATCAATAACAAGTATAAAATAATTACGAGACAAATCAACTAAAAAAAACCCACCCATTGCATGGGAATATAAAAGAAAACGAACATGAATGTGATTGTTTTTTTTTTCAAATGGAAATAAATTTGAATGATTAAAACATCTTAGTGCCAGCTATGAAGGTGGGTACTAAACCATGATTGTTTTTTCATTTCCGAAGTTATTTGTTATTGATCTATTGTCCAATTATTACGGCTAATTAATTGAACCAAGTGACGAAGATACTAAACCAATTACATACGACGTAGAACCCTAAGCGTCACTTTCGTTTTATTTTTTACGAACAAACTTTATATATAAACCTCATAAGGCAAACAAAGAGGAGAAGAAGAATCTTGCATCTGAAGAAGAAATAAATTGAATTATGGCACCAAAGCAGAGAAACATGTCATAAGCAGTCTCTCTTATCTTCTGGTTATGAGCTCGTCTCTTTCTTGAAAGTTGAGAATTCGAATTGTTTGGATATTGAAGCAGAGTGGATTGCAAGCTGGGATAAGGTCAAAGATGGACCAAGAAGCGAGAGTTGGAAAAGAAATTGAAGAAGCTACAGGCTGTGCAAGTGGAGCTTTGTATGATGAGGATTGGATTTAATGCGGCCGCTGCGAATGTGATTTTTAAACAAAACAACGCATCTTCTTCCGGTAAGTAGATGAAGAGCTGGTGGTACGTTGTTGGTGGAATGTTTTGTACCCTTTTTAGTTTGCATTTTGCTGCTTTAGTTGTTTGGTAACATTTTGGCTTTTAAGACTTATGTTTATGGTATATTTCAGCATTTCTATTGGATAGTGTTTGCTTCTTTTGTTGGATGCTTGATTGGGTATAAGATCCTTTCCTTTATGTGAACTGATGTTTTATGATATATCTTGGAATGGCGTTTCAAATTATTAAACTCACGATTCAATAGAGTAGTTTCTGTTGTTCTAAACACATTGAGAAATAGCTTTTGAAAGCCACGCGTTCCATCCGTAGAAAGATCCTGACCCAAGTAAACTTGCCAGCTTTATTCGTCACTGATCCTGAGTTGATATATGATGACTCCTACACACACCTAAATTTATAACCAGATGTTTTGATTTTTATATAGTTAGGTCTAGTGATAAATATGCGGCACATATAACGTTATTTGAACAACCTTGAGTGCTGCGTGCTTCCATGTTGATCGGGAGATGGCGTTCTTGGAAGAATTGGCCAATCATGAGAACCTTGAGCTATAGGTTTCAATTTCATCCTATAGCTCTGATATCATCATGTCACTTCTCATAAGTTAAAGAATCTATCAACATATCTGTTGCCATTGATGCTCTTCAATGATTGGCATGTTCGTTCTCCATCATTGTTCTAAACTTCATTTTCTCCACAGTTCATTTTTTTACAAAAGTTACCTGCCTGACACTCTCTTTTGTGTAAGCCATCACTCCCCGTATTATCCAATCCATCATTCTATTTTACTTAAAACAATTCAAGAACATGTTCAAAGATCGTCAGGTAATAAACAGCGATAAAGAACAAAGGAGGAGATGAAGCTGGAGAGCAGTCTAAGCAAGAGAATCAGTTTCAGTTTAGTTTCATAGCCATTCATTTGATTCTGCTAATATATCAATACATAAGATTTAGATTCAGTAATATTTAGAAACCTTAAGAATTGTCTCATAGATTATCCAAAATCCAAAATCCAAAGGGAAATGAAATCCTAACTGTATAATATATGACCAAAACAACATAATATCACTTGGTCCAGAAAGAGAGCCCTCCATTACCACTATATATATATATATATGTATGTTTCGGGAAATACAATCGAATTTCCCGGACATAATCTTTATATATGTTTCTTTAAAACTTCCAAAAACAGAACTCTGCACAAAAGATTCTTATCATATATGTAATTAGAAACTGCGAATCGCGGTTTTACTTACCCTATTCGTTTGACATGTGCTTTGCTTTCATTGTGCTACTCTGATTGGAATGCTGCATCTGCTGGTGTTGTAACTGGCTTATGCTAAGCTGCTGAAACATCTCCGGGTTTAGTGACGTCTTTGATTCGCTGCTGCTGCTGCCACTTTGCCTGCGGTTCGGCTCCCCAATCACCAGTTTCAACCGCTGGACTTCTTCAGTCAGTTTCTCTGACAAAGCTGCCAAACAAGGAAAATCAAAATGTTACTTCTCTAGGAGAACTGAGATATGGACAAAATCCAAGAAACACGGTAGCTAAATTCTCAGGAGAAAGATCAAAGCATTTCATAGAGTGAATTAAACAAGAGACATATTTCGCGTGGTAAGGATGGATAAACTCGGGTGCAATCTTGCGGCCATGAGCTAATTTTCCAAGGAGAAAGTTTAAGGTTTTTCCATACATAGAAAACAAAAACATTGTTCCTACTCAAGGCTGTGGCAAGCGAAAAAGGAAAGCTCTCACGGTGTCAATGGAAAGTAAAACAAAGCATTCGGATAATGACATGACACTGACTTGGTTCCATCGAGTTTGAATGCAAAACAATCTTAAAGCGACTCAGTAAACCTAATATAGAGAATAGTTTTGATAATGTGCGTACCATCGCGGAGTTGTGCTTGCTGCTCCATAGCTTGAAGACGAAACTTCAGCTCACTGTTCTGGTTTGTCAACCCCATTGAATCTCTCTGAACCACCAAAGGAAACAATATAAGTCTACAGACTTATTTAAACATGATAGTTTGTGTTTTGTCTCTGTCTCTCACCTGCAAATGCGTGAGCTGAGCCGATAATGTAGTAGCTTCAGTCTGAAGTGTCTGCACCTTGTGTTCTAACTCTGCCATGTATCGCGTCTTCCGCTCCTTTGAACGTGCAGCAGATACGCGGTTCGCCAAGATTCTAACGAGATTGTTAAATAAAACAGTCAAGTCACCAACAACAGCAAAATGTCTAATAAAGCACCACTATTTATTACCTTTTTACACGCTTAGGGTCAGCCATTACAATCTCAGCGAGTTTCTCATCGGCTGCAATCTTCTTCATTTCAGCTGCAGTAAAGTCACTGTTTCCAAATTCGACACTATAAGCACTCGAATTCCCTTCACCTGAATTGGTTGGGGAAACTTTAGCTGATGAAGGCGGAAGCTTAAGAGATGATGATTCATCGCCGAAGTTCAACTTCCCCATGAAACAACTATCCATAGAAACACTCCTGTAATGTCTACTAGTCGGAGCAATTTCTCCGCCAGCTCTTCTCTTCACGCCTGAAGAAGAAGAACTCACCGCAACCTTCACATTCCCACTCGCACTGCTTTCTCCTTCAGAATCACTACTGCTTCCGCCATTCGTCTTCTTCGTCCCGCTACCTCTACTACTCTCCATCTCCTCCACATTCTCATTACCATTCTTCCCATCTTCACCTCCAAAAGAATTCAAGACATCAATGTTTTCAAGATTCATATAAGCCGTGAAAACATCGTCCATAGCTGCTTCACTCTGTGGTTTTCTTCCCTTGAAGAAGCGTTCTATTGGTTCGTCCTTCACCAGATTAGACCAATCTGAAATATCTCCGGAGATCGATCTCTCCAATGAACTCAAAGGAGGAGACTTTTGATTCACTGAACTAAACCCAAAAGTAACATCACTATTCGAACGCCTATGAGACTTTCTCGGCGGTAGATTCTCTCCATCTCCGGCGTTCCTAGAGCTAGAAGAATGACACATCGTAAACGGCGAAGGAGGCAGAGAAGGGCTAAATCCGGCGCCGGTTTTTTCCTCCACCGACACCGAAACCGGCGGATTTAACGGCGGCAATGAATCAAAGGAGAAGAAAGACGACGGTTGCGACATAGACCGAGAATGCCTAGGTTGTAAAGTCGCCGGGATCTGAGAGTAAGGAGAAATGGGAGGAATCGGCGGTGGAGCTCCGGTGAAAGGCTGACGGAACTGGTGGTGAGAGCGGATAAGAGCAGGATTCAAGTGAAGATTCTGTTTAGGGATCGAAGAAGACGATGTACCGGAAGAAGAATGAACTCTCTGCATCATATTGGTATCTGTTGTATCACCACCACCAACCATTTTGATTGATTTCTGAGAAATAAAAGATTCCGAAAATTAAAGTCACAAACTTTGAAGAACCCACCAAAAACCCTAATTAAAGATTGAAGCTTTAGCTGAAGAAGATCAACAACGGATAATAATTGAGTTTCCCAAATCCGAGAGAAGATAATCTATCTAGAAAGAAAGAAAGAAATTGACCTGCAAAGGAAGGAAATGGAGAAGCGAATCTCTCTCTGTGTGTGTTTTCTGGTTTCTTCAGCAATCAATGGAGCAAATCATCGACAGAAAAGATGACTCTTTGAAACGTTGACCAAAGTATTAACGACTGGTCGGAAAAAGGAACGTCCGAGAAGACTATTTTGGTCTTGTTTTTCTATGAAATTTTAATAAATTGGATAAAATGAAAATAATTTTCAATAAAATAAAATAAAATAAAAAGACAAAGTTTTATTAAAAAAAAAACAAAATAAAAGTCACAATTGTCTAAACCCCATTACAATCATACTAGATCCGGACCCGCACATACGTGCGGGGTTTTATTTGTACTTGAATTTTTATATGTATATAGCATTTAAGGCTAGATACCTGTTACATGCATTCAATCTGTTGCCCGATTTGTACCCGTCTCAAGAAAAGGGTAGTCGTGATCTTAGGGTCGGGTAAAAGATTTTGTAATTCTATTACTTGTGGCCCGTAGATAAGGGTCGAGTATCGAGTATTTATATTTTGTAATACTTATCTCGTTATTCGATCTGTTTCTCACTTTACTACACGACCCGTAAATGTTTTATTCGTGTTTTATAATATTACTAAAATTTTATAAATATATCTTATAGTAAAAGATAAATCCTAAGTCTGTAATTTTATACTTTTGGAAATGGAAATATATGTTGTATAGTTTTATGTTTTTTTTTTTGTTTTTTTAATATATTTTTATGTATATTTATGTTGGGCCTATTTTGCATATTGGCCCAAAAACCCTTTTTCTTGTTAAGTGGCTAACGACACGTTTTCTCTCCCCGTAGCTCCTCTTCTTCATCGAACACTTATTTTCTTCTTCTTCTTGCTTAATCATGATGGTATTATCCATCTTCTTCTTCTCACTCTCTTCTTCACCTTCACTTTTTGAGCTTTTCGTTTGAGAGATAGGGACTTTCTAGACGTTTTCTCTTCTCTTATGCAGTATTAAGTAGAAAATCAATTTCCAATAGACACCATAAAAAATAAAAAAATTGGTACTGCAATTCGTTCTCTTTCCCAAAACACACAAATCTTCTTCTTTTTTGTTCTTTCATGCTTAGGGTTCTTTCGATTAATAGAGTAAATCATTTTCTCCATCAACGATCAGAGAATCTAGTCGATTAGTAATCTAGGGTTTTTATTTTCCTTTTTTGTTTCTGGTTTACTCACCTATCGCGAGGAGGACGATGCGGTTTCTGAACTGCGAGTTAGAGTTGAAGATGATGTAGTTCAGAAATTAGGCCATTATATTAAACTTAGTGAGGACTTCGAAGTATTTCTCAGGAAGCAGAGCATGAAGAGGAAGAAGATTCTTTATCACCGTCTTCTTTTTCTTCTTGTGGACGGGATAGATCTGTGTGGTTATGTTCAAGCTTGGTCTTTTATTCGCGATTCTAACTACTTTGGGTCTCGCTGGTTACAAATGGCTCGCTCCTTCAATCATGGATAACGTTTAAAATTTCCTCCTTTAAAGATAATTCAGTGCATGTTCCATTACAATGGTTCCTTGTTCCTAAAATCCAGTGTTGAATTGATGTTGAATTTGTTCTGTTCTGTGGAGATTTTAGATCTTTATCAATTGTGTTATGTGGAAATTTTAGATCTTTATCAATTGGGTTTGATTAGGATTTCATCAATTAATCATCACTCTTGAATAAGATCGTAAGTACTGACCACAAGTCTGTATGATGTAATTGTTCGTCTAGTGTAGAAAAAAAGTTCATTTATGAGATTGGTTCATGTTTCATGTGAATTTGTATATGCCATTACCTTAAGATCCGATTAGCCCAAATAAGGTTTGAAGTTAATGTCCTGTGGCTAATTTTTGATACCTATATAACCAGACCCTCTTAACATATCAAAACAACTACCTTTGTTTGCAGGAGCTAAACCATCTCGCAAATGGGAGATCAGACATTTGCAAACCCGGTAAATATATGCAAGCTCATGCCATTTTTGTCAAAATATAATGCTTTATTTTCCCTTGTCATACTCTTTTTGATATTGATGATGGATGATTCACGTTCATGGTTTTGAAATTTTCTTTCCAATATTGCATTCTCTAGCTATCCACTAAAATTTACTTTGGAATGGACATTTTTATTATTACTCGTAATACTTTGTTCAGCTTTTAATTCTTAGAGCTAGCATCTCTTGATCTTATGGTTGAAGAAATAGTAAACAATTGAGAAGAAAGAAATATTGCTTAGTCTTTGTTTCAAATTTGACAGTTCATAATTATTAAGGTCACATAGTCACTGCTTTGATTTTTTTTTTTTTAATATACAGAAATCATTACAATGTTAAAAGAACATCTGCTGAAGAGTGCTATATTTTGGCATTAGAAATTCGATAGCAATCGATTTTGAGAAGTAGCTACAACAAAGGTATATTCTCTTCTTGAATCATCTTAAATGTTTATTAGAGCAATAGCAATAGAGACATACATGATAATAAAAGTTTACAACCAATTAAAGAAACTAAGAAACAAAAAAGAATAGAAAAGTTTGTTCCATGACGTTATCCCATTAAGAAGTCTGCAACATAGTTTACATTTTTCGTTATTTCAGTGATATCTACAAAGAACAAATACTAATTGAGACTACTTACAATGAAACCATGTGCCATCACAATAACTCTATATTCTCCAACTTTAAGAACTCTTAGAAGGATCGGCTAGCTAACTTTTTTGTGAGTGGCAACAACAACATAAAAGTTTTCATTTGAAAGGTTAGTGAGTAAATACAATGGTATTAGACATTCTATATTTATAGGGAGAAAGGTTGGCTAGCTAATTTTAGGGTTTAAAGTATCATATATGGAATAAAATATTTGCTAATCCATTTTTTGAAGAAAGATTTAAGGTATATACTTGATTAGTTAGGTTATGAATATTTAGTTATTGTTATTTTTGGTAAATATATTATCCGAATTCGTATCATATCGAAAACAACCATCAAATTTGGAGATTTTTGAAACTAAATCTTGTTACCTTTACTATCTATCCTTATTTTATATTCGAAATTAAAGGGATACGTTTGTTTTGGGTATATCTTAAATGATATATGTCATTTTTGGTTTCGAAATAATTTTTAGTATATTGCAAGAAATATCTAATAACAATATTGCCAAATCTTAACCAAAATTGATTGTCACAGGATCCGCTTGATTGTCCCAAAATTGCCATATTCCAACAGTCCGGGTCGGGTCCATGATCCGCGTGTCGATCCGCCAAATAAGCCCAGAATCCGCGTGTTTATCCGATCCACTCGCCCAAGATCCATGGGTATTTTGCTTTTAAATTATGATTTTGCCCTTCAACAATTTTTTTCATTTACTCTTTGATTGTAATTATCCCAATGGCATTTTTTGTAATTCTTTACACTTCATAAGGTTATTTATTATCCAATGCTTCCCAATTAATAGTATAGATATTGGATTGCCAAAGGCACCTCAACTTCTTTAGATCTAATGTCCAGAGAAATCTTGGTTTGGCTGCTGTTGATTGAACTCATTGACCTCATTGATGTTGACTTGCAGCTGGAACATGTTTGGATCCAACGGCTGCATCATTGGACTGTCAAACTGGCTGGGGTTTGCCATTCCCTCACCAGCTGCCACCTTAAGTCGGTTGACTTCAGCGATGAGCTCTTCACTTAGCTTCAGTTGAGAGTAGTCTAAGCCCTCTCGTTCCTTTGCTTTCTTCTCTAATCTTTCAATTTCTGCACATAATTATTTAGTTAAGGTTACAAAAATAAAGGAAATGAAAATATATAGTATATGTTCTTCGGTCACCGAATATAAATTTTTGTTAAATTAAAAAGGGTGATATACGGTTAAAGATCTAATAAGAAACCTCATCTAAAAATGATTACATCTTATCTAGACATTAAGTTTCTGGTATAGCGGAAAAATAAACGTATTTTACGGTTAAGAATTTTGATAAAGACCCGTGTAAAATCATTCAATTTTTTTTTATGAATAGAAATATGTTTACCCCTTTCTTTACTAATGTAAAAATTCAAACATTTATTATAAAAATGTACCATCAAGAATATGTGCCTTTTGCTCCAGCAATTGAACTCGAAGCTTCCCTTCCTTGTTCTCGCCCATCATCATCATGTTTTCCTTCTGCATGCAACAACAAAAAAAAATTTAACAAATTCCTTATAGGAACATCTTAGACATGACAAATAGATGGTTGCTAATGTGATATGTCACACCTCCATAAGCGTCATCGTTCCAACCAGTGAAGCATTAGTCTTCTCAAGAATCTTTACTCTGCGTTCCAAATCAAGAATGTGCATCATCTGCCTCTCCTTAAAACGTGCAGCTGCGGCTCGGTTTGCCAACCTTCTGAAAGAGCATCCATATATGAATAAATAAATGTCAGAAAAACCATACATCACACATGATAATAATAATACTAATAAATTATTAAAGAGAAAACATTGTTAATTTTAGTCATCCAATCTTGCTTACCTTTGAAATTTCTTAGGATCATCTGCAGCCTCTTTATCTCCTCTTCCAACAGAACTGCTAACTTGACCCTGTAGATTCCTACGCTTTATCAAGTCACTGTTATAACATGTATCCGCTGAAGCACTCCTATAGAGTTGGCGTGAAGGTTCAATCTCTTTCCCTGCTCTTCTCTTGACACCCGAAGTAGTCGATCCAGTTTTAAACTCGCTCTCATTCGCGTTGCTTGGACCTCCCGAATCAGTATTGGTTATCATCAAAACATCAACATTCTGATTCTGATCACCATTGTTATTGTTATGCAGAATCATATACTCAGAACAGAACTCCTTCATGGCTTCTTCATCATAGATCAATTCTCCAAAGCCTTCCTCGCCACATCTTGAGTCCCCAACCAGCATATCTGATAGCTCAAGGTAGCTCGATCCCGGAGAACCCTGAGGGGCCATCGAACTGATCCCAGTGATATCAGTGTTGGTCCGTTTATGAGACTTTCTTGAATGCAGAGTGTTGCTGCGGGAGACTTTGGCGGAGTTAGACCTCTTGACCGGAACCCGAGGAGGCAATGAAGGATGATCGGAGTTAGACCTAATGGAAGAGTCTCTGTTCGCCACATGTACTGATGGAGAAGGGTGCATCAACGGGATTGACTTACAACCGATTGACGTCGGAGATGAGCTCACCATAGGATTAGAGCAGTAGACAGGCGACGGCGGCAGGACTGAAAGTATAGGCCTGTGAGTCATCGACCCTTTTCCAGGGTAGGAGCGGGGAAAGGAATCACGACGGAACGAAGGTGGAGTAGAGCTCCCTGACGACGTGGATGAGAACACATGCGATGGTTGAGGTATCGTCCATGGTTCGGGGTTGGAATGCATAAATGAGTCATGACTGAACGGCGATGGAGTAGAGCTCACCGGCGACGGTGAAGGACTCGTCTGGGGAAAGTAGAAGCTAGACGACGGAGTAGAGATCGCCGGCGCCTGTGAGTTATAGAAGGACGACGGTGAAGGACTCGTGAGGGGATAGTTGGAGAAGCTAGACGACGGAGTAGAGATCGCCGGCGCCTGTGAGTTATAGAAGGACGACGGTGAAGGACTCGTGAGGGGATAGTTGGAGAAGCTAGACGACGGAGTAGAGATCGCCGGCGCCTGTGAGTTATAGAAGGACGACGGTGAAGGACTCGTGAGGGGATAGTTGGAGAAGCTAGACGACGGAGTAGAGCTCCCCGGTGCAAATGGATTATGGAACCACGGCGGTGAAGGACTCGTATGGGACGGAGTAAAGCTTGCTGGCACCAATGGATTATGGAACGACGGACTCGTCTGAGTGAAGTCAGGGAAGGTAGGGAACGGCTGCGTCGTACACCGTGGTCCGGGGCTGAAGTCTGGTGACCCGGCTGGAAAACGGATCAGTGGTGGGACCTGAGAAAAGGTTGACGGAGAAGTCTGGTGAGACAGTGACATGCCTGTGCTCTGGCCACCGTTGGTGCAAAAAGGATTCTGCTGGTATTGAGTGCTTGAAGGAGTCCTATTGCCACGACCGTTCATCGTTGTTATCGGAGTTTCTGTATGATATCGAAGTTTTGTTATTTCTCTTAAAGAAGAAATCAAAAATCGAATGCATAAATAAGAAAAAGTTAACAGTCCAAAGCTATAATGAAAATTATCAATAGAGATATTCAGATTCTATGAAAAGTACTGTTATCGGGTTGCAGAGAAGGAGACCAAATAAAAATTGAAACTTTGAGAGAGACATAAAGAGTTTAGGAGAGGAGACCTCAAGCTTCGACAATGGATAAGGACAGTTGACAAAAGAAATCTCTCTGAGAAAATGATTGGTGTTGTGTTTGTTGTCTGCTTCAATAGATTGCACGACCCTCCTATTTATATTGGTTAAGGAAGGACACAAGTCTCATGTTTTTTTACCCCTCCTCATATCTATACATTTTTAATTGTTTTTTCCAATCTTAAGGTCTCATATCTATACATTTTTAATTGTTTTTTCAATAAAATAGCTTTTACATTTTGAAGTTAATAAAAGCTAGACTGTATTGTGTTTATACAGTGAAAATTTTATAAATCTAAAGTTATTGTGTTTTGCCATTGAGTAAATCTTTTTAAAATTTAAATTTGGCTCGTTATTTAGTTAGTTATTTTGCCGCGTTATTTACGTTGTTAGTGAGTTAGTTTATCACGTTTTTCCAGTGAATTATTTTGACACGTTTATTTCGTTGAAATAGAACTATTTTACCACGTTTATCTATACACATTTGGTTCAAATGAATCACTAGAAGAACTACCAATGTTGGATTTTACAAATGATTTTTGTTAGATTTTTTACAGAAAGTTTTGTATATTTTTGGATTCCTTTAATTAATTGTAATTGTAATTGTGAGATTTCTTTTTTGGCTGTATTAATAAATATCATATACTGTATCTCCTTTTTTGGTTTTTAGCAATTTTTACTTATAATTAGTAAATATTTTCCATGCATTACATGTGTCGTGGACCCACATTAATTTATATTACTTAATTGTAGATATTTCAATGAATCTAAATTAAATTCTGAAATTAAGTTTGTTTGAGTTTGTTTAGAAATTAAATTTACCACATTTGGCTAAAATTGGGTAAATCCCTTTAACACTATTCTATATAAGTAATTTATCTTAGACCAATTGTGTTGCGACAAATGTACATTTCTTTAAGTGGATAATTTAGAGTCATTTGACTAGTTTGGATTTTTTTGGGTCCAGTTTGTTACCACTACAATAAGTAAAAATACTTTCCATTTGGGCCAAAGTAAATTTTTAATTGTAGAACCGGTAAACGACATTGACTCAAACAACACATGGGACCCACACATAGTATTCCTCGTTGAGTCGTTATGACACGTGGCAATATCCAGGAACAAACGAGATTTGACTTGAGTCGGGTAGTCAGAGGCAAAAAACGATGTAATTTTCATTTTCTGAAGAATCATATCATTGCATTACTGAAAAAGATAAAAAAGTTGAATAACAAACATATCTCAAAGATATTATTAGATTCTTGAATAACTAAACACATCGTTTTGCTAACGAGTACGACATGATCTTACTTCGCCGTGAGATGGGAACGAAACAGTGCGTTTTATCCTCGGCATCTTTTCGTCATCCGGAGGAACCACAACGGCTAAACTTTGGCAATTGTTTTTCTCCGTTTCTTCAGTTCGTTTAGTACTCTCGGTACACTGATTCTGCACAACACAAGGCTCTTTGCTTGTGGTTGAATCTACAATCTGATCTGAGCCGCGACGCACGAGGATATGAAGACCGATCAAGATGACAAGAGGAAGACACATCAAGAACAATGCATAGTAGATGATCCACCCAAATCCGGTGTGACTCTTTCCGTGACAGATCCATTCAATGACTAAGGCAATTCCTGAGGTGAACGTAATCAGGCTGCTTAGGACGAAAACTTTGACAATACCCGGATTCGGAATTTGCAAGAAAGCTCTTGCGGAGGCAAGAAACCATATCTCTTGTGCCGCTTGCTGCGTCTCTACTGTGGCTTTCTCTACCATTTTGTTGTTGTTCATGCTTTTTTTGTTCTCTCTTATCGGTTTAAAAAGAAAACTAATAAGTGAAAGAAAGAATCTTAAGATTTTATTCTTCAAACCAATCACTTTTTTTTTTTTGGGCAAATCTTTAAACTAATCACTATGTAACGTTTTGCTATGAAAGGGGTAACAGCTTGAGATTTTTGTTAGTATCCTAACTGTTAAGATTTTTATTTATTTTTTGAGGTCGAAACACAGATTTCTTATGTCAATCCATTTTTGCTCATTCAAAAGATACATAATAATGGTTTTACCATACACAACAACGAACAACTATGGACAATAAAGACAAAGACAACACCTAATCTTAAGAAGACGAGATAAACATACTTGGACTGTGTAGACAACAGAGGCTACTTGATAGTGATGTAGCGGTTTGTCCCGTGCCTAGCCCAATAGTCTTTAAGATCAACAGGACACGAGAGATCATATCCTTCTGCTGCTAAACGGCTGAGTAATCTCGAAAAAACGTTTCCGCTCATTTTCCTACCGCCCATCCGAGAATGCCTCTTGTTTGGCATCTGCGGTAATGGATATTGGGATAAGGTGGTTGTGCAGCAAGACGATTGCCAGCCGCCATTTCCCCATTTGTAACACTGATGAGCAGAGCCGGTGCATGTACACATGGGTACAGGCATTGTCGTCTCATCGAAGGTGACTAAGTTCAAACCGACATCTTGACTGTCCCAATCTGTTCTAGATTTCTTTCCAGGAGCAGCAACTCGACGGTTCAGATCTTCACCCACTTTCTTCACCTTTGATTGTCCCTGCTTGTTCTCCTTCTTCCTTTTTGTCACCTTCGTACTATTGGTAACATCGGGCGGAATAGTTGATAAAGGGACGACATGGAGTTTGTGGGGTTCTCCAATACCGAAACAATCATCTCCATCAACGCGCTTCCCACCAGACAAAGCAAAGTTGAGACTATTTTCATGGTGTTGAAGCGCAGCATACGCATTATCTCTCTCTATCAAGGCTTTATCTCTTTCAGAAAGAGCTTTGTCCCGTTGCTGAAGCGCTTCGTCCCGATCAGCTACTGCTTCCTTTTTAGCAGAGACAGCTTGATTCCTTTCATGTACAGCAGCGTCCCTCTCGGCAAGGATAGACATGATCTTCTTATTCATCACCAAGGCATTATGTTGTTCCTTAATCTGATGCTGAGGCATCATATTCCACTGTAACAAACATTCTTTGCTTATACGCTTCAATCACACTAACAAAACATATCTGAAGGAAACCAAAAATCTTTAGTCTTACCATAGATTGTGCACCTTTGAAGTAATCGGGCTTGAACCTCCCATTATCATACTGACCACCATTCTCCATAACTCTTATAATCTTCAAAAAGAGGAAAACCGAACAAAAAAAGAAAGCTTTTCAAGCTTCTCCTCCAAAGAGACTCAGCAACAGTGAAACAGAATTTCAAACATTGTGATTCGATCTCTGAAACAAGGTTCACGATTAAGAATTACAAGCAGAACTCACAATTTCACTATCTTCTAACCTTAAATCATCACACAAATCTCAAAATGAAGAGAAAATTTTGAATTGTAATACTCAGAATTCAGAAATTGATTTATGATTTACCAGTTAGGGTTCCGCCATTGATTCATTCATATACCAAAATCAATCTGAACTAGTTAGAGAAACAGGTCTTAAAGAACAATTTACGAAAATTGGAATAGATTAGGTTAAGATCAACGAGGTCGAATCAATCTAAAAACTTCCATGACAAGAGAAAACAAGGGTGAAACTGAAATTAGAAACCCTAGAGAAAGAACACATTCAAAATTGGAAGAAACACCGATTAACAAAGCAATCAAAGAGACGAAAAGGCGCGAAAGCTTACGAATTCGATGAGCTTGTGGAAGAAATCTGGGCAAATGGATAAATTTTGATTGAGAAGAAGAAAGATCCAAAGGGAAGAGAGAGAGAGAGATAGTGTCTCTCTGCGAAGAAGAAGCTCAATGTACTTAGTTTGTCATTTACCAAAATTACCCTCTTCTCTACTACTAACCAACAAGACAGATCAAGGGCATCCTCGTCTTTTCTGATAAGCTGTTTCAGTTAAAATAATGTTTCATTGTGGATTAAGAGCATAAAAGAGATGAGAGAAATCTATATCATTTTTCATCAAACGTGATATTTAGTACTTAAGAAATCTGAAATCATAATCTGTTTAATAACATGAGTTTAGCTCACAAACATTTAAGAATGTTGTTGCAAGTAAAGCTATGGCTTCTTCTCTTGTTTATCTTCTTAAGCTTCATTTATTCATGTAGATAGAGAGCGTGTGTGTGATCAAGCGTAGAGATCAATGCCCCAAAACTTGGCTGGTTGGTTCGTGCGGTATTTCCTGTCCATGCTCTTGATCACTTCCATGTCCTCTTTTGATAGTTCGAAGTCGAAAACCTGGAAATTCTCTTCCAATCTCGCAGGCTTCGATGTCTTTGGTATCACCACTGTGTTTCTCTGGATTCCCCACCTCAGGACAACCTGTGCTACTGTCTTTTTGTACTTCTCGGCCACATCCTAAGAATATAGACAAACACAGTTCTTTTTTAATTGTCAAAGGTTCAATCCAAACTTCTAAGCTTTAGGGGATGAGGCTTACTTTGAGAACTGGGTCATCCAGACATGAAACAGTGCCAAACCACTCAGCGTTGGCTGTGGCACCTCCGAGAGGAGTATGAGCGGTGACACAGATACCGTGTTTCTGGCAGAATTTGACAAGAGAATCACGCTGAAAGTAGGGATGTGTCTCAATCTGATTCACTGCAGGCTTGATCTTGGAGTAAGCCAAGCAATCTCTCGTTAGAAAGACGTCATAGTTACTGCAAAAAACCAAATGGTCAAGAAAACCATATATTGGCGACGACTAAACAAAAGAACTTGTTATAATAGTGAGAGAAGTTGAACCTGATTCCAATGCTGCGGACCAAACCCATAGAAACAAGCTTTTCCATGTCATGCCATGTAGTTTCCAAAGAGATGGTCGTGTCTATGTCCAATACCCCGTCATCACCCAAAGCACTATCGGTTGTTCCAACTCCTGCAAGTATATATAGAGAGGGGAATTGCTAGAGACGTGAGAAAAATTGATTTCAGCCAGTAAGAAAAGGAGGATTTGTACTAAAATGAAATGCAATGTTTTCTACTCGAAACTGAATAAGGCTCGAGCCTAACCTGTGTGTTTTGTTGCAACGGGAAAATGAACGAGGAAAAGGTCGAGGTAATCAACTTGAAGTTTCTTAAGACTATCTTTGCACGCCTCAATAGCATGGCCATGATCTGAATTCCATAGCTACAAAACCAAGACAGATTCAGAATTCATAGCTTTATCCCTTATAATTATTCGAACTGAAATAAATTGAGATCATAGCTATATAGTATTCGTTTGGACCTTGGTCGTAATGAAGAGATCCTCCCTCTTAACCAGACCAGTCTTGAATGCTTCTGTAAGAGCCTCACCAACTTCGGCCTCGTTTCTATAATCAGCTGCATCAAGTAACCCCAAAACATACTCATAAATCAAGACACAGAACAAAGCAACTCACATGAAAAACAAAAATAAAAATGAACTAAAAAGCTATCATAGAACCATGAGTCATCTACACAGCAAAAGACTTTAGATCATTCTATGATTCCAAATACCTACAAGTGCAGAATCAGATGCAAATAAAGATCTACAGAGAGCAAGTTTTTCAGACTAGAAAACTCAAATCTTGGACATATTTTGCAAGAAAGATTCCAGCTTTCAACAAACCCACGATTCTATTCACATATCCAGAAGAACCCCAAGAAACAAGGATGAGAAAGGAAAGGTTTTGAGAGAACTCAAGTTATACCAGCACAGTCGAGATGGCGATAGCCGATCTTGATGGCATTGATGATAAGGTCTCGAATCCCTTCCTTCTCCATTCTCCACACTCCTAAGCCGACGATCGGCATCTTGAAACCACTGTTCAGTGTTATCTCCATTTCTTCTTCTCGCTTCTCTTCCTCGATCCCTGATTGGGTAAATATCTGCTCAGATTGAGAGTTTCTCAGTGTGTGTTTTTGGTAACGCACACGTTAAATAAATAGTCATGATGATTCCTAACAATTATTTTAGGCCCAATGGGCCTAACCAATTTATTTGGCCCAATACCGTTGATGTGAGACTATCAAGTACAACAAACAAGAAGAAACGTTATAACATGTCCTCAAGTTTGCATCTTTTCTTGGTTTGTGTCCGGAAACAATTTCCTCCTACATGTAATTTTATTGGTCGGTAGTTTTTGAGGTCTCTTTTTCTCTGATAATCTCCATTTTGTAAAGTTCTAAGCTTTGGTATTGTTTCCAAGGATCTTACTTGGGTTTGTTTCAAAAGTTGTGATTTTGAAACTTGTAGATGGTTCTTCCAATTTTTAGGTTTCTTTTCTGCTGCTGAGATCGAAATTGAGGTCTTAGGTTTTTGATAAAAAAAGTTTAGTTATCTGTTACTCTTCTCTTGTTTATATTCTTAAGCTTCACTTATTCATATAGATAGTGAGAGAGGGAGAGAGTGTGTGTGATCAACCGTAGAGATCAATGCCCCAATACTTGGTTGTTTGGTGCGTGCGGTATTTCCTGTCAATGTTCTTGATCACTTCCATGTCCTCTTTCGATAGTTCCAAGTCGAAAACCTGAAAGTTCTCTTCCAATCTCTCAGGCTTCGATGTCTTTGGTATCACCACTGTGTTTCTCTGTATTCCCCACCTCAGTACAACCTGTGCCACTGTCTTTTTGTACTTCTCCGCCACATCCTAAGAATTCAGACAAACAAAAGGTTCAATCTTTAACTGTTTCAAGTCAAACTTTTAAGCTTTAGAGTTTAGAGGATGTGGCTTACTTTGAGAACTGGGTCATCCAGACATAACACAGAACCAAACCATTCGGCATTGGCTGTGGCACCTCCAAGAGGAGTATGAGCGGTGACACAAATACCGTGTCTCTGGCAGAACTTGACAAGAGAATCACGTTGGAAGTAAGGATGTATCTCTATCTGATTCACTGCAGGCTTGATCTTGGAGTAAGCCAAGCAATCTCTCGTTAGAAAGACATCATAGTTACTGTAATGGTCAAATAAATTAGAAATCAGCAACTAAACTAACAACTTGTTAAAAGAAAACATTGAGAGATGCTGAACCTGAGTCCAATGCTGCGGACCAAACCCATGGAAACAAGCTTTTCCATGTCGTGCCATGTAGTTTCCAGAGAGATTGTTGTATCTATGTCCAATACCCCGTCATCGCCCAAAGCACTATCGGTTGTTCCTACTCCTGCAAGCACGTATAGAGAGGGGAAGGCTTATACCAATTACTAGAGACTTGAGAAAACTTAATTTCAATCAGTAGAAAAATAATAAAAATGAAATGCAATGGTCTCTAGCTACTCGAAACTGATAATTCAGCCTAACCTGTGTGTTTTGTTGCTATGGGTAAATGAACAAGGAAAAGGTCGAGGTAGTCAAGTTGAAGTTTCTTGAGACTATCTTTGCACGCCTCGATGACATGGCCATGGTCTGAACTCCATAGCTGCAAAACCAAGACAGATTCAGAACTCAGAGCTTTCTCACTTTTCATTATTCCATCTGAAATGAGCTGATATCACAGCTATATAGCCGTTTGGACCTTATTCGTAATGAAGAGATCCTCCCTCTTGACCAGACCTGTCGTGAATGCTTCTGTAAGAGCCTCACCAACTTCTGCTTCGTTCTTATAATGAGCTGCATGCACCAAGTAATCCCAAAAAATACTCATAAATCATGACACAGAACAAAGCAACTCACATGGATAAACAAAAATAAAAATGATCTATGTTTGTAACAAGTAAAAAGTTGTCACAGAAAAATCAGTTATCAATAAAGATTCCAACTTTCAACAAGTTAAAACAAACCCACTATTGTATTCCCATATCCAGACAACCCGAAGCAACAAAGATTTTGAGAGAGCAAGTTATATACCAGCACAGTCGAGATGGCGATAGCCAATCTTGATGGCATTGATGATAAGGTCTCGAGTCTCTTCTTTCTCCATTCTCCACACTCCTAAGCCGATGATCGGCATCTTGAAACCATTGTTCAGTGTTATCTCCATTTCTTCTTCTTGCTTCTCTTCCTCAATCCCTGATTGGGTAGATATCTGCTCAGAATCAAGAGTTCCTCAGTGTGTGTGTTTATTATGGTAACGCACAACGTTAAATAAAGGTGGCCATGATTCCCTCACAATATGAGGCCCAATGGGCCAGTACCGTTTATTTATTAGCCCAATACTCTTTAATAAAGACATGGATCAATACGCACCGTATGGTATATATACAAGAAACGTTATCACACAGGTCCCTAAAGTTTGCATCTTTACTTGGTTTGTGTCCGGAATCAATTTCCTCTTACAGGTAACTTTTATTGGTCGGGTAGCTCAATCGGTGGTTCCTGAGGTCTTCCCTTTCTCTGATAATCTCAAGGCGAGCTTTCAATTTTGTAAAGTTTTTAGCTTTGGTTGTTGTTTGTATCGATCTCACTCGCAGAATCTGTGATCGGAATCTTCTGTTCTGGGGATTTCCGGTTAGTTGTATAGGAATTGGTTTCCAAGGATCTTACTGGGTTTGTTTCAAAAGGTGTGATTTTGCATGTTGTTGATGGTTCTTCGAAATTTAGGTTTATTTTCTGCTGCTGAGATTCGAAATTGAGGTCTTAGGTTTTTGATTATCTGTCAAAGTCACCGACTTTGATATTCATACTGGTCGGAATTGTTGCCCACAATTGATTATTGAAACCCTTAAATTAAAGAGTGCCCTTTTCTCTTTTCTGATTTTGGATCTCTTCTTCTAATTGACTTGTGTGACGCTTCTTTTTCTCTAGGTTGACACTTGGTTGCCATTCGTTAACTTAATCTGTTTGTCTACTACCACCAATAACTATGGTAAGTGTCTTCAAAGGTTTCTTTTTTAAACGTTATCTTTACTCTAGCTTAACTATCACTTGCCTGTTCGTTTGTCTAAATCCTTGGGACTTACCACGATGCAGTTTTTCGACGGATACCATTATCATGGAACAACCTTTGAGCAGAGTTATCGGTGTTATCCGGCATCTTTTATCGACAAGGTTTGATTCCATCTCTCTACTTTTAGTTTAATACTCTGATAAGTGAATCTAAGAGTGCTATTTTGTACTGAGTGAATTCTAAAAGAAAGCTCAGATCCAAGATCGGAATTCTGCATACTTGACTTGTAATTTCTTGTTTCTAATTTGTATTTCATTTTCTCTTCCTGCAGCCACAAATTGAAAGTGGTGATAAGAGTAAGTCTTTCTATCTAGACATCAATGTTTTTTCCATCTATATTGTTCAAGCCTGAAGTTTAATTTATTTTAATTCTTTTTTCAGTTATAATGCCACCATCAGCCCTTGATCGTCTAGGTATGCTCCCACTGGTTTTCTCTTTTGGGTTTGGTCTAATATTTGTTTAACTTAGAAAAATAACAAATCGCTAATATTGGGGACTTTACAGCCTCTTTACATATTGACTATCCGATGCTGTTTGAGGTTCGTAATGCTGGAATTGAACGTGTTACGCACTGTGGAGTCCTTGAGTTCATTGCAGAAGAAGGCATGATTTACATGCCATATTGGGTAAGAATCAATTTCCTCTTTGATTGTGAATCGAAGTACTCTGGATCATGCGGCCTTACCAGACTGATTGTTTGCTATAATCCAGATGATGCAAAATCTGCTGCTGCAAGAAGGAGACATTGTGAGAGTTAGAAATGTCACTCTTCCAAAGGGAACTTACGTTAAATTACAACCCCACACAACAGACTTCCTGGATATATCCAACCCGAAAGCCATGTGAGTCTGACTTATTTCTACCCTCCTGTATTTGAGTTTTTGTCCTCGTATAGTTCTCTCTTCCCACATCATGTTGATTATTGCTTAGAGTATGTATTATATCCAAGTTCTTACTGTCACTCTTTATATCTTGTTCCCAATATTATCATGTGTCTTGCTGATGAATGAGTGAACTTTGCAGCTTGGAGACTGCTTTGAGAAATTATTCATGCCTAACCACTGGGGATAGCATTATGGTTCCATACAACAATAAGAAGTACTTCATAGATATAGTTGAAACAAAGCCTGCTAACGCAATCAGCATCATAGAAACAGACTGTGAGGTTGATTTCGCACCTCCCCTTGATTACAAGGAGCCTGAACGTCCCACAGCACCTGCTGCAGCTAAGGGTCCGGCTAAAGGTATGTATCCATGGACATGAAATCATCAGATGGATTTACTATCAGCTTCAAGGTGTTAGATTTTCATGAGTTCTTTTCTTTCCAAATTTCACAGCTGAGGAGGTTGTGACTGAACCTGAACCAAAGTTCAACCCTTTCACGGGATCTGGAAGACGGTTAGATGGGAGGCCTCTTGCCTATGAGCCGGCGCCAGCCTCTAGCTCAAAAGACAAACAGCCTGTTGTCGCTAATGGTAATGGACAGTCATCTGTAGCAAGTAGCTCAGAGAAAGCTACGCGAGCTCAGGGAAAGCTTGTATTTGGGGCCAACGCAAACCGTGCTCCAAAAGAAGCTGCTCCTAAAGTACGCATTCAAAGTTTATTGATAATTGACAAAACAAAAACTGCAATGGAATTGAGAGACAAATGCATATGATTGTCCCTCTCTTAATTTAATTTTTCAGGTTGGAGCTGCAAAGGAGACAAAGCAAGAGGAACAGGAGAAGAAAGACGAGCCCAAGTTTCAAGCTTTCTCTGGGAAGAAGTATTCATTGAGGGGTTGATCAACTCAGACAATCGGTCTGCTCAGTCTATTTATGATCCTCTCATGTTGTGTACTATATAAAGACTAAGAAAACAAATAAGTGAATAAATCTCTGGCTTGTCTTGACGTGGCTTGTTTTCTTTATCAGATTATGCCACTTTCTACAATTCTCTGCTCTTTTATAATCTTACTGCAGGATATTAGACTGAGCAACTCACTAACATAATTTGTTCATGAATTCGAAGCCATGCTCTTTGGCTCTTCAGAGGTGAAGTCATTGGCTGAAGAAGAGGGCCTGCGATTTGGAAAATGAAATTAACCAATGAACCAAGAACAATAGATGAGAAAGATGCTATGTCTGAGTTATAATATCCTCAACACATCTGAGATCACTGATTTCTGAGGTATCACCGAAAACACTTGAACCATACATACATTCTCTGAGTTTTACTCAAAAAAGAAAGAAATATAGACGAAAAGAAAAGAATATCTTGTTTTTCTGTGACCAAAACCAATTCTACAACGATGCTCATGTGTGTCACCTTATTGCATAATGGCTCTGAGTGCATCCTTCACGTATTTGTACTTGAATTCAAAGCCAAGCTCTTTGGCTCTTACAGGTAAAACCTTCTGTCCCTCCAGAACCACAGTGGCACCTTCTCCGAGTAAAGCTTTGAGTGCAAAGTCAGGAACTGGTAGCCACGATGGTCGGCTAAGAACGCTGCCTAGCTGCTGGCACATTTCCCCAAGCCTAACCGGATTCGGTGCAGTCCCATTAATAACTCCTGCCAACAACAAGCACCAATAGCATTATGCTTTATCCCTTGGCCTATTCTTAAAAGGTAACATAGAGGATAAATATGTATGTCTGTAACCTTTATAAGATGGATTAGTGAGGGCCTCGTAAATTAAGTTCACCAAGTCATCCACATGAATCCAAGAGAACCTACACAATGAATTATGCAAAAATGATCTTCAAATCCGTAGAGAGCCATTCAATAGATGACCAGAAAAGCATCCAACGTTTACCATTGTTGTCCTGAACCCAGAGGTCCTCCAGCAAACATTTGGAAAAAGGGTATCATCATGGCTACAATGCACAAAAAGACTTTGGATGATCAGCAGAGTATCTAAGTCCTTCACAAACATATTACATTAGCGTGTGGCAGCAAACAGTATACGCACCCAAAGCTCCACCGTCTTTGCCAAGAACAACACCAATGCGGATAAGTGCCACTCTAACATCCTTATTCGCTTTCAATGCAGTTCCTTCCCATTCTCTGCAAACCTAAGTACACAAGTACATGTTTCAATTAAGAAGCAAATTCTTTGAACATAGACTTAAATCGACATCTATCACTGCTAAGTACACAGTTTTTTCAGGGTCATTAACTACAAAACGATTCAGAATTTGCAAGGAAATCTCTTCTAAGACATTTACCTCTGCAAGATAGTCCTTCCCTGATGGACTATTTTCGTCGAATACTCCCGTCTCACTAGTACCTGACAGTTTAAAGAGTCGCCTTAGAATGCTTGTTGGCATGATCAGATTCACAAATGCAAACTTTGATGGCTCCGCATATAGGATTGAACAAACCATAGTAACCAACAGCCGTGGCGCTAACTAGAACGGTAGGCCTGGCGTCAGCTGGTGAATTATTGATTAAGTCAACAACCTTCAATAATTGAAACAAAAATGAAACTTTTTACTTAGGAAATCTCCTCAATATTTGAAGCGTGAAGCCACAATCCAATGACAAAAGACAGTAATCACTAACTTTGGAGGTGACACGGATCCGGCTGTCCTTAATCTCTTTCTTGATCTGCAAAGCAGGTAAAGATAAACTTACAGTCACAGAAAAGAAAAAGCATCAAACTTTAGAGAAAGGTCCAAGAAGAAACTGACCTCGGGAGACCACCTTGTACTAATAGGCAGGCCTGCCAAGTTCACAACAGCAGTGGAGCCTTGTACACAGTTCTTCCACTCCGATTCTTCTGCAATCACAATACCTGGGAAGTCCTTGGCTAAAGAAGACCATCAAGAACAAGATTGAGTCAGATCAAAGACTGTATAACATAACTAATCACATAAGTAAAATAGAAGCAGAGTAGTCATTACCTTCTTACCAGGAAATATTTGCTCAGCTTTGGATTTCGAGCGTGATAAGACCCGGATAGAGTGATTATCTGCAGAATACCAACCAGTAGAACTCATAAGTGTTTAAAAACGTCATCACTATAAAAAAGAGTGAATCTTTTTACCAGCACGAAGTCTCTGAACCAATTTTCTCCCAATGAATCCAGTTGCTCCAGTTACTGACACTGTCATCTGATTTTCCTGGAAAACCACATTGAACAGAAAATCCTCTAGTCAACCACACATTTGGATACAGCTCCGGGTTTGATGCTTCAAAACTTGGTTCTTTGGGTCAAACAAACAATCTCCATAGTTTTCTTGTTCCAAGGTATATAATCCAATGCAATGGGGTTATGGAAAAAAAGTGGAGAACTTTGAATGAAATACCTTCTGGGATTTCTCAGAACTACACAGAACCATGAATCTCCTTGTCCCTGGCACCTAAAAATCCAAGAATTGATCATGAATATTCTTGTCCCGCAACAAATTAGAAGCAAAAGAAAGAAATTTTCACAAAATAAAAAGTCAAAAACCCAAAATCACATACAGAGATTGATGGAGGGACGAAAAGAGCAGAAGAGAGAGCGAAGGAGGAGGAAAGAGACGTTGTTGAGCAGAGAAGCTCCATCGTTTCGCTGAAACTGATCGTTAACACTTGAGTGGTGGAGACACATATACGTATTTGCACGGAGACAACTTAATAGGCCCTTAATGGGCTTTAATATAAAGGCCCATTTATCTCCATTTCTGGCCCATGAGTGAACCCAGTGTGTTTTAGTCTTTGCTTCAAGTCTGAGAGTCGGAGAGGACGAGAGTGAGAGAGATGGCGGCGATGCAGTGGTGCGGCGCGATAACACGACGGATTCTGATGACGCAGCGAACATCTGCAGCATTGAATTCTCCGGCGAGATATTTTTCGTTATCTCCGGCGTCTGCAGCTCCGGCGATATCGGAAATGGATTTGTGCGGGAGAGGAGATAAGAAGACGAAGAAAGGGAAAAGATTCAAAGGATCGTACGGGAATTCGAGAGGGAAGAAACAGAAGATGATTGAGAGAATCAAAGACAAGCTTGAGGTTCCCAGGTCTACTCCTTGGCCTCTCCCTTTCAAGCTCATCTGAATCTTGTTAGGGTTTTTTCTCTTTTGCCAGCAAAAATGTCGCCTTTAATGGTGTTTTTTAAAACTATTTGTATACTTGTTCTCATCATGAATCATTTGAGTATAAACTCGTTTGTCTTGTCATGATCTGTGTGAAGTTTTTGGAGATTTAGATGCTTAAAATTGTCCTCTTTTGTTAGCTTCACTTGTGATCAGAATCCCTAGGTTTGTGGTGCATAATCCAAATTTTAATTGAGGTTCCAATTTGCAAATGCCAATTTATGCACAAGATTGTTGATTTTCAGCATTTGTTCAAAGCTAGAGAGTGTGAAGTCATAAGCTTTGATTGTCTTTTCCTTTTAGTATCTCTGTGATTGGAGAACCTTGTAGATCGTTGTCTAGTTAGTTGGTTTGTAGGTAGATTATAGAAACTGAACCACATCTGATACGTTGGTATGAATATGTGTGTCGCTCTGTTGAATGGTTGAATGTAGGATTGCAAGATATGGCTTGAGAGATTAGTGAGTAGTGACTCTCAGATTTTTAGTATTATGAGATGTTTGAATACCACCCACCTTGTAGATCACACTGTATAATGACGATTGACGAGTAACTTGTTTGATTCCATTGAATGTTTTATATGAATCTTAGATAACTAGGAGAAGAGAGTTCACAGATACTCAGAAAGTTTTCTAATCTAGTTTACTGTTCTCTTGTGAAGATCTAGTTCCACAAAATTGTATCGAGTAAAATTGGTGACTAGGATCATACATTACTCTCTCGAATTGGATTCTAACAAGTTCGACTGATACTCTTACTTTTCCTATGTAACTGCCGATGATGAATTGATGATCATAGGTTTGCTCATATATCTCTGTTTTAGAAAGTGTGTTATTTTTACTCTTCGTTTATTTTTGACTGATTTTGTGTTAATGGACTGGATTCCATCGTCTGTTACCGCTCTGTGTGGGGGTTCTCAGTATCAAAAGAATGTTGTTTTAAGTTTTAACCGATGCAAAAAGGTAACCAACTCCATGTTACATTTTAGAAAGCATGTAACTTATACGGTTATACCATAGTTATAAGTTATAACACTACAAAACGATAGTGTTTAGAAAGTGATAATTATTTTTGGAGAATTGGGTTTCAGAAAAGTAGTTCCGACCGATTAAACAAATTCGATATTGGATCAGTGTCACACACACGTGAAGAGATGTTTCCTTCTGCTATAATAGGAAAAAGATAGGAAATGAGTTGATCTCACATAACCCACAAGACTTACCATTGAAGAAAAAACATCAGAATCAGATAAAGTCTGCTTCCAAATTAAAAACCCCATTAAAGCAAAAGACAGAGAGATCCCCTTAAGCTGCGGAAACATCTAAGAATCCTTTTCATCAAACACTCAACACCTAGAAGATTTACACATACAACCTTAACACTCATTAAATGAACGTGTTTGCCTAATAAAATTAGAAAAGTGTGGCCATGCTTTTTCTCCAGTTAAGAGATCTCCGAGTTGTTGGGAGCGGAGGCGTGAAGCTCAGACCAAACATCTCCTTCATAGCTCTTCCTTGCTCCACGAACCTAACCAGCTTTGCTACGACGGCTGCACTTTCCACCACATGGGTTATGTCATTGGGTTTACTCCAGAGCTGGTTCGCTAGCTGCAACCGCCGGCGTTTCGAGTTTACAGCGATCCCAAACTTCTGGTAAAGTCTCTTCCTTTCCTCTCCAGTGAACCTCTTTCCGACAAGCTTGCTTAGCATTCGTCTCTCCCTGTGAAGCGCCTTCAGGCTACAGCAAAAACCAGACAAGCGGTTCACAAGAGATTATTTGTTTTCTGTTCACAAGACATTAGCTGTTTGTGCGGATGCAAACACATATGCTCAGGGTTACTTACCTTGAAGCTATTGTGAGTGTTTGTCCTCTTTCAAAGGCATGGTTTCCCTGAGAGAAGCTTTCTTTCATAAAGGAGAGTTTTCTTAGCTCTACTCCGATGTATATGGAATCTGCTTGATCTCCCGTGAAGAGCAAGAAGAAGTATGTTCTATGCACCAAAGAGACATGACATGTCTGCCACAGCCCCAAAATTTGTTCTCTCTGCCTCTCGAACTCCTCCGACCAGTTTGTCATTGTCCCAGATACCTCTTCTTCCATAGCGTCCACACCAATGTCCTTTCCCATTTTCCTTGAATTCTCAGGATCCGAAACCTAAAACACAAAGCTCCACATAAGAAGTTGAATCTTTTGTAGCAAAAGAAAGAGATGGCCTTATAATATATGAAGAGAGTTTTTAACGTTTTTTACCATCTCCTTCAGCCCTTCAACAAATGACCGGATGCTGGTGATACCTCCATCTTCTCCCACCAATGGTGTTCCAACGCTGTGAGCCTCAGTGGAATCACTTCCGCGAGAAGACATAGAATCGTTCCTCAATAATTTCCCACCAGAACCGAACTCTAAATCAGGAAACGCAACACCATGACCCTCCGGTCTTCCACGGTAGTCTGCCTCCAGGGCATCAGGAGGAGTGCTTGTGCCCGGCATGGTATCTCCACGGCTCCAACTCTTCCTCCTCCTGACGCTTCTAACACTTGACGGGGTCCTGTGTTGAGCAATACCTGTTCCACCGTTTGCCTCTGCATTGTGGCCCAGAAGTGTTTCTGCGTCTGTCCTTTCTTCACTGCTGTTATTAATGTCTCTGGTCGACTCTTCCATCTCAATGCATTGTACCTCTTTGCAGTATTCTTCTGATTGATCTCCTGAATGCCTAGGCGACATTTCCTCCTCCAGATCATCATCAGAGTGAGACCTAACATGAGCTCTTGCAGTCGACAGAGGCGTTGACGTCCCATCTGATATGAAACTTGTCCTGTCTGGATCAACCACGCCTGATATCTCTGACACTGAACCATCCTCCCACTTGTTGGTACGGTTACGGAAATGCGGAGTTCCAGCCTTTTTAAAGATTAAAAAAAAAAACAAACGGTTGAGCTAAAAATGCTATCGAAATGTAAAGGATTATCGGATAAACTGTCAATTAAACTGAGAACCTTTGAAGACTCATCGTGATCCACCATCTTCATAAAATCTTCAAGCCGAGATTGAGCAATATCCCGCTGTTTTGTCATTTCTCCAAGCTGCTTCTCCATCTGCACGACATCAAAGCTTGATTAGAATAAATTCAACTAAACAAAAATCAACCAACTAACTCATGCCAAAAGATCTGTTGAAACTACTTCTGGGTTTCACAAAAGCACAAACCTTTTGTATCTGAAGATCTTTCTTTCTCAGCGTAACCCCACAATCGCAGCTTGAGGTTGCAGGGGCTGGGTTTCTCAGCTCGCTCTCGAGCCTGGCTAGCTCACGCTGTAGTTGCTTCACCAAAGCCTTGTCTGACATAACAACATTGATCTGTGCTTTCGTAGTGACTTCCTTGGCACAGCAAGCAAACAAGAGAGTGTTTCTAGTCTGCTCCACATGACTCCTCGCTGGACTCAGTGTGCATACTATGGCGGTTCTGGCATTACCCCCCAAGCACGGCTGAAGAATGCGTGTGAGCTTGGAGTCTCTATAGTTGATGTGTCCTTGTCTTCCGTTGCTGCATCATGTTGACAGTCTTTATATTAATGCACATTAAGTTTCAGAAAGACAAATAGAGATGCTTGTAAAATCCGAGTTTTGTTTTGTCAGTATGCTTAAAAATTAAAATAGTATGGTTATATTGTCCGCCAAAGTATCACTTCCACACCTTAGTTTGCGTATCACGGTTCCTAGAGTCAGCAAGCTTCGATTGATATGACAACCCTCCTTAAGTCTTGCACCAGCTGATAAGGCCTGCGATGCACGCTCGCTCCCCGCCAAATCAATAAAATTCTGAACATGAGAAACAATGAGCATAAATAAGATGATTGGCAAAGCTTAGAACCTTAAGACCCAATAGTAGATAAAACAGATGAGAACATACCACACTCGCCATGAGAGTGGTTGAGTTTTCTTTGCCTAAGAACTCACGAGCAGAGCTTTCAACTGTCTACAAAAGGTTAACAATTTAGATAAGGCACTGAGCAAAAAAAAAAAGGGAAACCGTAGATTTAGTTATAGAAAAGAGCTTTACTAGTTTGATAATTTGATGAGATCTTGAACTTCTCTCATTTAGTGAAGTTTCACCAATCTTCCGCTGTGCTGGAATAAGAACAACAAGAAGTACAGAAACATTATGAGAGATATTTTTAAGACAACATTTTATACAGAATAACCTGAGTTGCAAATCCTGGCAAACTACATAACTATCAGCTCGTTTGTAAATTGTAGTAACAGAAAATAGGTGGACTATTTGAGATTATAACCTTCACAAACTGAGATAAGATCCTTCAAATGGTTCCAGTCTCTCAGGGTTTCCTCTGTGGCTTTTTCAACGACGGCCCCTTTCTAAATGGAAGAAGAAGAACAAAACGAGAAGAGAGTCACACAACATTATTAACGAAAAGAACTTGCAGTAAGGAGAGAACAAAAATCTTTCACCTCAGGGTCATCTCGTAGCCTCAGTGGTGTACTATCTGGGCTGAGAAGATCTCGGATGGCCTCATTGTAGATCTCTATAGCCGAAAATTTCACAACAAATGCCCTATCTTCATGCTGCAGCGTCCAGTCCAATTAGAGAAAACGGGGAGGAATATTTATCAACGTAGCATGCAAAAAAATCAGACTTAATTTTTGGCGGTACCTTAAATATATAATCAAATATGTCAGCCACAGCAAACTCAGTTATACCAGACATGGTATACGTCTTTCCACTGCTCGTCTGACCATATGCGAAAATGCTAGCTGGGAAACAAAAATTGTTGAATCACTTAGCTTTTCATGCGATTGATGTGTACATCATTACAACAATAAAGGAAGCTTACAATTAATTCCTTTGACAACCGAGAGAGCAACTTCCTTGGGGCCATCTTCATAAACTTGTCTGGTTGGGCATTCACCTCGGTACACTCTATCTGTCAGCAAAATGAAATGGGCATCCAAATCAACTCATGGATGTGATGTACAAGTGTGAAATTCACAGGAACAAGGCAGGGTAGAATTAAGTATATCGAAGAGGTTGGAACAGTTCAAAGAAACCAAAAACTAAAGTTGATT